TCGTGCATCCTAGCTATTGCCTTCAATGCATAGCTCCTTTTTCAACCCCTCTACTTGACAACCCACTGACAGTGCTGGATTTATGCACCAATTTACCAGCTCGCGCGTGCAATGCGAAGCTACCTACCCCCCCCCCCCAAATCATCGGTGAACGAAACTGCGGCAGCTACAACCAGTGTACGACGAGTACGCGGTTATTACATCTGACAATGATGATGAAAGGATGCTATGATGGTGGTCAGTGTTTGTGTTTCGCTTTGGTTTTCAAAGACGTCTTCACTTGTGGCGTCAAAAAGACAACACTCCATCTCAAGGACCACGTGTACCAGGTTGTTAGTTGCAACCGTGGCATACACAACTAACAACCTGGTACACGTGGCCCTTTAGACTGAGAGATATGCCTTTTTGACGCCACAAGTGACGCAAATTAGCAAACCTGACTCGATCTCCTTAAATTTATTCACTGGTTTCGTCCAGCACACTTCGGTCAGAGGTACTGCGATTACTGGGGTGTGTAAAATACTCCACAATCTCCAGTGCTTCTCCTTGAATTGCAACAGGCATGCTCTGAAGCATGAATTTACACTTTGGAAGTGCAAGGCGCACGCTAAAAATGGCATGACGGTAGTCAGTTTATTCAACAAGACTTTTGCTCTGTCTTCAAAGAGTGGAAGCGACCGAGAGGTGAACAGTCCATGACCTAACAAGGGAATATAAAATCACTTAGTAAATCCAGTCAGGCCGAAAACTGCTGCCTTTCTGGTGGGGGAGTCCCTGGACTCAACCCACCAACAGCCAAAAAAAGTGACAGAAAATTCTCAATCTGGCAGTCATTGGCGCTCCCGCATCAAAGTTATCACCTTCAGTGCGTGGCTGCTCGGACTAGAACAAACTGTCACTGACAAATACTTGGTTCTGTCTCCGCCGCCGCCCAATTTTGGGCGACTGAAACTGGAGCAGCTGAAACCAACATGCCTTTGTGCATGATTCATAGCTGATAAACTGAACTGGACTGTGTTGATGCTGCTCTTCGATAACCCGTCTCAAGGTGAAGATATGGTCGACGCCTACTCGATCAGAATGAACCCCAGGTTGGTCCTTACGGTCTCTCCCGGTAATCAATCAACCTGAGCAAAATAACGCCAGTGAGCATCTCATCGGTTGGTGGACACCACGTAGTCAAACGATTTTCACCGTTCTGGATTTTGGGATTGCAGAGTAGCAGTCTTTGATCGACTCACATTCCATTGACCATGAGTTTCGTGTATTATCCAAGATAATCACCAACTGGGTCTCAGCTCGCTACTTTACTTATGCATTAATGTTTCCCGCGATCACAACGACATCTAAGCCCGTTGTAAAAAAAAACCTAGAGCGCTGTAGAAACTGAATTCCGACATCTAAGTTGTAAAAAAAAACCTAGAGCGCTGTAGAAACTGAATTCGGTAGATTCACATCTACAATCCGTTGAGGCATAAACAGGGAGCAATAGACTTCTCTTTCTCGAGATTTCTTCAAGTAAGCTACCAAAGAAATCGCGCTCATGTTACTATCATCAAGTATTCAGTCAAGTAGAAGTGCTTCTGCTCGATGGTTTAACAGACTACCTATCCCGGTGTATACAGCGGTCTCCGTGTCACAAGAGAGATGCAGCCGGAAGCGGGAGGCGAGAGAAGGGGTGGTCAGTTCAACTGCATCCTGGATACTTTTTCCTGACGGACGAACTGGTTTGCAAGGTAGCTTATTATCAATTCTGTTTTCGAAAGACACAACATCAAACAATCAATTTTTTTCTGTTTCAGCTACTCAGTTATACTAATGGTTCGGATCACTCCAGAGCTTGTAGAGAACTCCCCGCAGTTTACCAATGCCATAAAGGACCGCGAATTAGACCTAAGAGGGTACAAATTCCCTGTTGTGGAGAATTTGGGCAGCACTCTGGACCAGTTCGATACTATCGACCTTTCGGACAATGAAATCCGAAAGCTAGATGGATTTCCCTTGTTAAGGAGACTAAAGTCTCTTATTCTCACAAACAATAAGGTATGTATTCACTCCGCCTGTTTAGGATGTCTTGTTTCCTTTGTGATATTCTCATTCTCCATTTGTTTCAATCTATGCCAAAGAGCGCCTTTATGTGCATTGGGTCCTAGTTAGAACTAGATTAGGGTTTTCTTCTGTCTCAATTTTTTGTCGCTGATTATCCGTTTGGTAGAACGCTTTTCACGAGGAACACAACCCATATTCGACTTTTGAGATTAGTGATCGTCATGGGTTTTTTTGGGGTCATTCAGCATGTCGAAGTATGACAAATATCGTTCGAGTGGACTGCAACAACTTTATTGTTCAGCTGGTCTAGTGCATATGACAACTCTACGACCTCGCTGAGTGTCATTCAACGACACTGAAAGAAAATGACGCTTCTGTCCGCCCATGTTCCACGGATCTACATGGGCTCTCCAGAAATGAGCTGAGATATTGGCGGGACTCCTTGCTTGGAAGAAAATACCATGGCCTTAAGACAATTCGATTCCGCGTAGTTCGGATGTTTTCCTCCACTGGACAGATGCAGCTTCTCGCTTGTTCCGTTTTACTGAACCCATTCATTTACACAAGTCACCTTAGCTGGATAGCTGACTGTTGACAGTAATCGCCAGAGGGCAGCTGGAATATCGAGTCACGCACTTTTAGTGTTGACTGTACAACCACCATCAGTCTTTCACTACTCCAGTGACACGGAATGGTGGTGTACACAAATCGAGTGGCTGGCTCAACAGATGGACTGACAAGGTAGAGTTATTGAGTAAAGTTACGGTCCATTTTTCTGTATTTTGCTTTCAAATTACTGTTACCATACTCATCTCATAAAGACCATCCCTTCGTGAGGACCACTTTGCATACCCCCAGAGATTTCCCCCATCTTAGCAGATGGACAAAACGTTCAACATACTCATACTTCATTAACCAGCCCACCGTTCTTAGGCGTGACAGCTTATTCGTCAGGGGTCAAGTTTACAATGTTGCCATGTGCTCCACGTTATTACTACAAGGGTCAGAAACCTGGCCGCTGCGCGTTGAGGACGTCAAAAGTATTTCAGTGTTTGAACACTGCCCGAGTCTGGTAGAAGCACCGGATCGGTATTGCTGAAGTACGTCTAATGGTTTTAGCAGAAACCTGCCGCTGCGCGTTGAGGACGTCAAAAGTATTTCAGTGTTTGAACACTGCCCGAGTCTGGTAGAAGCACCGGATCGGTATTGCTGAAGTACGTCTAATGGTTTTAGGAAGAGATAACTCGTCAACGATAGATAAAATGATCACATTCCATAGGCTGCGCTGACTTAATCACGTGTTCTTTATCGTTAACAAATCGTCCAACTGCAACACCTTTTCGGTGCCTAGCTGCCATGTCACTCGAAGGAAGCATGAGGGCCGGGATACTGCCAGGTTGCCCAAGCCTAGACAGGGGCAGTCGAGAGGCAGAGGTCATGTTCGAACCACGAACTTTCCGGTCAGTAAATTCGCGCTCTAAATACAGCCATCTCGTTCCCGTTCCATATAACCGTTGACCGATTCCTTCAAGTAACTCTTTTACCACAACTACTTGAGGAGTGGAAGCCGGCCAGGGGATATCAGACGCTGACTTGGCAACGAACTATGACAGCCCATTACCAGCAAACTCAGTTGCGATGGTCATTGCCGTCTCTGTGGATGGGGACCCGGAGACATGAATGGTTAGAGACATCGTCAGACATGGCCCAGTAACGCCATCAATGCGTGCTCAACTGAGCTGTTGCCTTCAATACATAGCTCCACGATCTCCTCAATGAAAAGTCCACCGACACCACTATATTTGTGCACCGACTACATCAGCTGCTACTCCCAATGCGTAGCTGTCTAACCCATCTCCCGAAGTCATCGGTGAACGAAACTTTGGCAGCTAGAACCACTGTACTGCTAGTACGCAGTTGTTTGCAGTTGATGATGATGAGCCCACGACTTGCGTGTAGGCTTTTTGTAAGGCTTTGTTTTCAGGGTACGAATCAGTTCATAATGGACTACGTATCCAGTATCCTTTAGCTGCACATCGGAACGAGATAGTCGGTCGTGGTTCTTATGACCTAGCGGATAGTAGCTTGTCTTCAGACGTTAAAATCGTTCATAACAATGAGGCGTCCATGTTCACGTCTATCATCATCATCATCATCATCATCATCATCATCATCATCATCATCATCATCATCATCATCATCATCATCGTCATCATCATCATCAAAAGTATAACATCAGTGCTCAACATTGATGCTCTGCTGCCGTGCAGTTCACCTTTATGTAAACCAAACGTCTCAAAACACCTGCCTGGACCATCGCTTTCGCCCGTTTTGCCACTCGGAAATCCGTATACGCACTCACAATTGCACTGTATTTGTTTGCTTGAGGTCAGGATGACAGGAAGTTTGGATGTGTGGACGTATCGCGGAGGTAGCGGGTAACTGGACTGCAAATGCTGTCTGTAACCTTGATTGAATTTGCGGATACGTACAGCGTAAAGTGCTGTGGGGACAGGATTGGCCAAAATGCTGAAGCATTTCTGATCCAGCAACTTGACATCCCGTTGTACGTTCGCGGACAGTCTACTGAATTACTGATAAATCTGTTCGACGTTGGAAGTTTCATTCAGGATATTTGCGGCGTTTCACCGTGAACCAACTGTCCGTATCTCCAAACTCCAACTGAGTTTAAGGACGACCTATCCGTCCCCACTGTGAAGAAAGGCTAATTTCACCGACACCAAACAAAGAACCGTTTAGGACTTTCTCATCCTATCTTGAAACAAATGAAACGAGTATTAAACGCCATCAAGATGAGAGTTGTCATCAGAACTTAGTGGTATGGTGATTCGGATCGGCTGTGAATACCACTCAGTCAATCATATGATCGATCGTTTTCTCTTTTCAGTGCTTCCAAATAAAATGTATCCACGCCCAAGGTTAAAATGGACTGTCTGACATCATTGACCGAAGTAAACATTATATCGAGCATTTTCGGTGATAAACGGATGATACGAAGTGTATCACATTTTTTCCGTCACAAAGAGACTGAACCTCATGTTGTGTGTGCCTCCGCGACCCATTAAGCTATACTAGTGGGTGTCCGTGCGGCATTCAGTCCCTCATACCAGGTCGGTCAGTGGTTTGGGGTCTGACCAACGCAGTCTAATGGCCCCCGAGGTTGTGGGTTGGAGCATGCGTGGTGGCTTGTTCTACAAAAATGGTAATGCGTTTGCATTTTCCGCCAAACGCCGCTGCCTTGTGGCCAAGCTTTTGAACCAAAGGCTTTAGTCGGGGAGCCTAATCGTTATCCTGTTCAGATTTGATCACCCTGGTAATATCCCAGCCCACGTACAATCATATGTATGGCAACGAAGCCTCAGTGTTGATGATGATTTGGAGCGCGGATTTACTGACCGGAAGGCCCGTGATTCGAACCCGACTTCTGCCTCTCAACTTCCCCTGTCTGGGCTTGAGCAATCTGGCCCACCCCTCGTGCTTCGTTCGGGTGGCATGGCAATTAGGCACCAAAAGGGTGTTACAGCTGAGTGATTATCTTAACTGCTTCTGTCTGCTCGTGGGCAACTTGTCGGTATCTCGGCCCTTCTCGCTTCATCGGAGTGACATGGAAGCCAAGCTAAGAACAGTAGACACACTACCCAATAAGGAACCACGTGTAAGGTCGGTCTGATTGTACATCCTAAGCGTCGATAAATGAACCAGTCTCACAAGTCAGTAACCTGGCTAAGGACATAGGTTAGACTCTGGGTTTGTACGATTCTGACATCAAAACCGGCAGTTCTTCTAGACAACTTTCTTATTTGCTTCCTACCTCGATGAGCAATAGGTTCGTTCCTTGCTAGCCCCTCGACGTTTTCTGATGTAGTAGTTTGGAACAAGTTTTCGTCTTCTCTTTCACACCTAATTAGTTAGTGCGAACTGGATGACTTCCGAATTGAATGACAGTAGTTCCTCTTCAAGGACGGTGCGTATGCAAGACAATAGCCTTTTTACGGAGAGAGAGAGGCGGGTAATACCTCGTACTGGGATTTCGTATTTTATCCTAAGCACCCATGCAGTACACAAGGTGTGAGATAGGGCGCTAGTGTGCCGTACGTTGTGCTGATAGATATCTGTGTGCTAGTGACTATGAGGGAGTCCATAGAGTCTTCACTCCCAACGAATTCAACATGCCGTAGATTTTCAGCCATATTGCTGTTCAAGTTAGGGATTTATAATCCCGTATTCCAGGGGTTGCGACTACCTGATGGCCCTCCAAAACGGGACAAAACCGGTGAGGGGGGGCTGTCTGCGGAATTTGTGCGTATCTGAAGACCGCTAGTCTTTGATACTCTTTGGATTTGCGTTTTGAATAACGGTTGTTGTTGTTGTTGTTGTTGTTGTTGTGGAGTTTTTCGTAGCACCCGTTGTGCATATGCTTCTCATCAGATTTCGAACAGACACTTTCGAACTGGGCTCTGTGAGACACTGCGACTGTTCTTGAAAAATGCGCGTTTTATTTGAGCTACTTATGCCACAATCAGTAGTTCAAACCGTTTTTAAGTTGCATGCGCAAGACTAGCTGTCACGTCGCGGATGTTTTCATACCGATTCGTTGATGTCGCCTCATCTGGGTGCTCAGTATTTGCACAATGGCATTGAATTTTCGAAATCTACGGCGTGTCCCTGTTGGACTAAAAGAGCTAGGTAATTGAGTTCAGCGTACGGGTCCAATCTTTTGAACCCCAACTAGGCATTCCGGGGTATCAGCGATGTTAGGAAAGTATTCCACCAGACTTTTTCCGCCAGAGGTATGATTGCTTCAGCGGACAATCAAATTCGGTGGACTGGAAAAATATGAACGTAGATTAATATGATTTCGGGTTTGAGCATATATGCAACAAAATGCTACATTTTGGCGTAAAAAGTTTTATTCCATTCGCGAAGGTTTTGTATCTAAGATCATTGTGCGGCTAGTGCCCCCCCCTTTCATCCGTGAGGGCGGAACGAGTTGAAATATAAAGTTGGAAGACAAGTAAGTGATACCAAGCCTATGCAGGTTGAAGGATGTTGGAACTTCGCCTTGATGACAACAGAGAGTAACTAGTGATACTGTTGGAAGCATGTCATCAGTGTTCAACACTTACGCTTCACTGCCGTACAACCATGATCTATTTGAAAGCCTTATTGTAAAGAAAAGAGTAAAGGTGGACGGGGGGTGGACTTAGTGCTAGCTTACCACAATAATTCCGAGGTGTCTACACTTCCAGACATTCACTCAGGTGATCCTCGTAGAAACTGACAACAAGAACGCCACTGACGTCGGTTGGCAGCCATATCTTGTAGTATCTCCAACCAGACACAGTGAGGACCACGCGGTCCCCATCCTGGAAGGTGAGTAGTACCGACAGCACCCAAGCGTTTCGTGATCTCCTTCATACTCCTCTGCCAAGTCAAGGGTTGGCCACCTCTCTGTTTACGCCACTCTGAGTTGGGCATTGAAAACAGCATTCTCCTCGGCAAATGATGGTTAGGCATACGCAGCACATGTCCCAACCAACGCAGCTTCTGGTGCTGGACACATTCTTCAATGGAAGTACCCGTTGCACAACCGAAAACTCGGTTTATAACTGCCTCGTTACGGATTCGCCAACACCAACCCACAGGAGCTATGGTTCTGAGACAACGAGTGTCGAACAGCTGAAGACTTCTCAGTTCCGCTGCCCGAACAGGCCAAGTCTCACAGCCATACAACAAAGGAAGAACGTCTAACTCTACAATAATAAAAAGCAAATATTCCTGACGCCATAATGAACCGTTTTGTGGTCTGCTAAGTTGTCGGTATCTGCCTAATCGCATTCTCTGTGGTCACAGGGGATCTGTTTCGTTTTTGTCAACAACTTAGACACTTAGATACTTCGCCGGAGCTTGCTTTCTCCATAACGTCGTCCTTTTTCTTGCAAACCGAACGGGAGGGGGCGAGATGGCTCAGGTGGTTAGAGCGCGAATTTGCTGACTGACCGGTCCGTGGTTCGAACCCGATCTCTGCCTCTCGCCTTCCAGGCTTGGGCAACCTGGCAGTATCCTAGCCCTCGTGCTTCTTTCTGGTGACATGGCAGCTAGGCACCGAAAGAGTGCCACAGCTGAACGATTTTTTTCTAAGCGTAACCGGTTCATATTAGGATTGTTCTGTTAGGTGTACATTGGAAGTCACCAAAGTACATTCCTTATTCCGTCTTGTTTTTTTCGTCCAACAAGATTCGTCTGCAGGCTTCTTTTATGGCAGTACTCCAATCTCACCCAACCTACAGCGTACACTTGTACTACCTTCCTTTTGCCTTTTTTGTACAGATCGTCCGGTTGGCCGAAGACCTTGGACAGCAAATTCCCAACCTAAACACGCTCATTCTGACTGGGAATGCATTTTCGGAGCTGAAGGAACTCGAACCACTGTCTACCTGTGACAAACTGTCGTTTCTCAGTCTCGTCCATTGTCCGGTCACTATGCGCGCCAATTATCGATTGTTTGTGATCAGCCGGCTTCCTGCAGTAAGCTTGCTATGCGATGGTTTGGTTGTACTGCGTTACTGTTTATCTACTTGTTGTGTCTTGCTGAACGGTAGTGCAACTCTGTATCGGTCCCTTGGCTTCCTGCTCCGCCCACTATGGTATAGCAAAAGGCACGGTAGCTCTAGACAGCCCTTTCTGGAGACACGGAAATTATTACAACTGTATTTTATAGGGTAGTCACAGTGTTCCACGAGGTCGTGCCAGAATCTCCGTGAGGGGGCGAGAAGCATCGAGTCAAAGGTGCTTGACTCGGATTGGCTGGCATTCTGACCAATCAGGGCATGCCTTCGTTTGGCCCGCGTCCTGCACGTGACACATCCATCCAAATGATGTGGGACGGCTTGCCTCCGTACACTACTGAACCGACTTAGATCCGAACACTTATTTCAATGCCTGCTCGTAGTGCCATCGATCTCGACGCTTCTCAACTATTGCGATGGGTTGTTGAGCGGGGAGACTGGAACAGATAGGTCGACTGGACTTCGGAGATGTGTTCAGTGTCGGTGGTATCATGCTCAAGTTATCACACCATTTAAGTATCCGTTGTTGCATCACCGTTCATGATACCATCCACCTTCGATCACTGCTTGTGTCTGTGGAGCGTAGCTCTTGGGCGTGTTTGAAGAAACCGATATGGTCCACGGCCGTTGATTGCTCACGGCTTTGTGTTGTTCTCGACATGCACCTTTTAAGGGTATGTGTTTTAATCTGTGTAAACTTGACCAGTAATCAGTGTTGGTTGTTTTCTGGAGCTTGTTTTGCCTTGCGACAGGTCTCCATTTCTTCACCGAATGGAATGTAGTCGACAAAGGCCTTCAGTTCTGTTCACAACGTACTGCCAACAGGAGAAAACGTGTTCACAGACTTTTGGCTACATGACAAACGCTATCCCGAATTTGAGGAACAATCAAACATTTCTTACCCGCTGAAAATCACTCTTCCTCCTAATCCACATGCTTGTTTCCTGGGTGACCATCAACTTGATGTTCATGAGTTGCTATCCACCAATCCATCGAAATCGACCAATCACCGACAATTCTTTGTGCACAGTGGTTTTTCAAGACAAATCACTACGGGAAAATGGTGTTTCAGCTTTCCTGGAATTAGTCAAAGGCACGGTACAATTAATCATGTACGGCAGTGAGCACTGCGTAGACTCTCTTCTGGGAGGGCTTTTTTTAAAGCTTTAGGGTATCACGTCTTGCATTTCAATAAATTGTGTGTTTTATGGTAACTCTTTTGACTTTACTGTCTACAGAATGTGGAGTCGATCTGGAAAGTGCACAAAATCCTAAGCTACTTCCTAAAACCACCTGCTCTTTGTTGTTCTTCTCAGTTGCGGTTTCTAGACTATCGCAGAGTGACACAGTCTGAACGCAAGCTAGCCCGAAGTATGTTCAAACGTCTTCCCGCCATCGCCGCCACTCCTACTAACGTCGTCAAGAACCCTGTCGGAAAACAGGTCAATGGTTTACCGTCTGATCACCGCACGACCACTGTCAAAACATTCATCCCAGGTGCTCCAATCAACCAACCGGCTAATATGACCTCATCTGGTCGTGAAGAAAATGACTCGGGCTCACGGGGTTCCTCCGAAGCCGGTGCCACAACAAATGAACCCGCAATGCCGCCACCACCTGGCCCCACTCATCCTGGATCCAAAAGACCCGCTTCTGGTACGTCTTCACCTTTTGCCGCTTTCTGAGTTTAGGATTATTAGCGTTATAGGTGCAGTTTAGATCGGTGGCCTTGAACGGGGGTGGTAGCGCCCAGATAAGTGGTGGGATGGCGCGAATGCTCAAGTTGGCTGTAGGTGGATGCAGACAGGTAGGAGAACGGTGAACTCTGAGGCATCGTATCGGCAATTTATGTTCCTGTCGCCTCAGACAACGATTGCCACAGTTGCTTGCATGGAGTTTTTCAATTCGCACTTCGTCATCGCTGCTGGTAGCGTTGTGAGCTTCAGTAGTGCACCTCAAGTGAAAATTCGCAGCTACATCCAATTTTGTGAACCGTTTGATTTCATTTCCCTTCTGGTCCTCGAATGTTCGATGATGCATACCAAGTGGTGTAGACAGCGATCAAAACAAGTCTAGCTGTGAGTTAACTCTCGATCAGAGGCGTAGTTTGATTACAAAAATATGGTTCGCTGAGGACGCACCTGTTTGGGCAACCTTGTAATGCGTTTGTATTCCATGGAAACGTCTAAATACAGTCTGATTTTATTTGTGGTCTTTTAAAAACGCAGAAGATGGCCGTGGTCACGAGTCATCCTTGACAGGCCAGTATGCCGATGCACATGTGAGGATATTTGGTCCTGTAAGTGAAGCCAGTCTATTATGAAAAGTTGAGAGGCATCGTACAGCTGTTCCACCCGTATTGGAAATCGTCCGCAGTGTGCATCTCACGAAACCACAGGGACATTCAAACCCACGACCCCGGATGGTAGTTTGAAGACTTGACAGTTTGGCAATGAGTATCTGCTCAACAGTGCTCGAATTTGGACAGGATATAGCCCTACTCATCCTCCATTCCTGGAGACACGTCACCTGTTGTCTGGCTGCTTAATTGATGATTTCCCATCTCCTGAAATTGCTATTTCACTGAACTACTTAACTCGCTTTCCATATCCACTGTGTACGAACTTCCCCACATGACCTAACACCAGTAAGAGTTCCAGGTCACGTGCTCTGTCCTGTTTGGAGTGACCACTCTTGTGAACGGACTCCCGCTCTTCAAATCAGTAGCGCCTGTCCCCGCAACTCGTCGTCTTTACGTAGATAGCACCAACCGGACTGCTGCACATTTGGTTTCATGGAGACCCCTAAGACAGGCACCAAATTAATGTGTCTGCATGCAATCATTTTCATGTGAAGCTATGGAACCTGGCCATCTTCGTGATCATTACTCTTTTTTTGAAAACATGCATCAACGACTGGTGAAACGTTTGGTTTATGGGTCGCGTAACGTAGTGAGCACCGCGGGACACAGACTCCAGTCCCGTATCGATCATTGGGCACACTCCGAGCACTTTGACTTAATTCCGGAATACAGACGACCATGTCACCTTTTTCCCTCATTTCATCGTCATGCCCATTTTTTTATTCAGGTGGGACGACTCAAGACTTGTTCGCTATCCAAGAAGCGATCAAACGAGCCAAGTCCATGGACGAAGTGGAGCGTTTACATCAACTGCTAAGTAGCGGGCAGTTTGCTGGATTCGCTGCGCAGTGGCAGCAACATTTGAGACAACAGCAGCAGCAACAACAACAACAGCAGCCACAGCAATCACCTGCACCTGAATCTGAACAAAGCGCGGAGCAATAGCTGTTTCTTTGAGCTCGGTTTCCCCCTTTGTGTGACATTGCGTTGTTATCAGGCTGTCTGTTGGTGCCTCTCGATATTAAACTTTTTCTATCTGTTTGTCATGTTTTTCTTCCGTTGAAATTGATTCCTCCGGTTCCACGCTGTCTTCCGCAAGCACTGGACGATCTTCTAAGACGGTGGGAATATGCCGCTTATATCTAGCTGAGTACTCTGAGAATATCGACTTGGGTTTTACGTTTTGTATTTCGTTCGATCAGCAGGGCGACGTGTTCTTGAGAATTTTGGAGGCATTTAGACTGCGCCGTAGGCTAGCATCCCACCTGTACATTGTCGAATGAAACCCGAGTTGTATTCTTCTCCCACAACACGAAAGATGCTCTGAGATATCCAAAAGTAATAACAGGTACGTTAATCAGGGTGTGTTTTCTCGCGTGCTCACTAGACCCTCAACCAAAGCTTATCCTTCTGAAGAAAAAACAAGTAGTATTTGCACTACTGATTAATTGTTAGTAAGTGGTTTTCTGTATCGTGTGTGCTTTTTAGGAGCAATCAGCGTTTCGCACCACGTTCCGTCCAGTAGGCACCAGGCTTCGGCAGGACATCAGCTGACAGTAGCATGTCAACACAATGACCCAAAATCCCGACATGGACTGGTCGCTGTGGATCGGATGTTCAAACATGGTACCGCACTGATTCCTCCTTTGCGATGGGGGTGAGTGCCCGTGATGCGGTACTGAATGGGTACTGAATGGACCCGATTGCAATATGATTAATCACCAAGCGCGTCCATAGGCCATCCGCTCTTAATAAATGAACATCGCATCGATCGGACGGATGTTCCACGTGCAGGCTTCGTGACAAAGATTCTATCCTGATAATAATCTTCCTCTTTCTTCACAGAGGGCTGTTTCAAGCACGTGTTCCTGACAAAGATTCTAGCCTGATAATAATCCTCTTTCTTCACAGAGGGCTGTTTCAAGTTCCCATGCCTTTTGATATACCACGGAGGGTGGAGCGGGAAGCCACGGTCAGCAACACAGAACAGCCCTCGTCCGCCAATCATGCTGTCTACTGACCGTCACGCTTATGTTGAAAGAAAAAACAGGTCAACCCATGAGCTCGGTTCGGTTTAAAACTAGTTAGGTGTCCTGGAGATTCGTGGGCTCTTTGGACAACCGGCACTGGACGAGGCAGAAAGCCTTATCGGTTTTCACCTGTGTCAAGGTCATGACACGACAAACAACTTCCTGCAGGCTGGTTGGTTTTCAAAACCCTGGGTTTATCTGACGGACCGGTATGGAAGAACTCGAATCAGTTGTTTGCAGTATGAATCCCGTGTGATGGCTCATTGCCGAATTCATAGTCAATGTTTTGTCGAAATAGGACGACGGATTCGTCAGGCATCTGGATATGGGGAAGCGTGGAAGCACACTGATGCACTAATTGGCGTGAAACGACAGATGACTGAGTAGGAATTTGGTAGACTACGATTGGGGTCCAAGGGCAGCTCAGCGTTCGAAGTCGTTCTGTAAATGATAGAAATAGAAGATACGGTTAATTGAATCGAATAAGTTCAACGGCACCGCTGTCAACATTGCGCCTGCGACTCGGTGCCGAACTTTACAACACTGGCCAGGTACCTTGGTGGATTCTTGGCCTTGCTGAAGAGATTACATCCCATAGGTGGGATGACGGACTCAGCGGTCAGTAAGCGGCCGAGTAAGAGTTAAATTTTAAGAGTTATGCAATTAGGGACGGAGGATAGACTGATCGTTTGCGTCCACGAGACAAACTCTAATCAGAAAACAGTCATTTGGAAGCACGCGACAGCAATGGAAAAACATGTACATTGTTGGCGAAACATCGGCTACTGACTTTGTCGTTTCTACTGTCAAAGGAGGGCCATTGCTGCAGCCAGTAGATGCGGGAGCCACTCATTAGGTTACGTACACAGAATGTTAACTGTAGAATACTTCGACGTACCTGGGAAATCCCACTTGAATGACGCGCAAAACCACAAGCCAGAAATTGTGGATTCTTGAGATTTATCAAAAGATGCGGTACTACATGTGTAGATTACGTAATAGAAGGGGTACAAACATCAAATTATGGGGGTTTCCGTCTAAACTGTTGCGCGAAGTAGCGCTAGTCCAAATAAAGCCCGGAGAGGATGGAAAATCGATCCTAGTTTACGACACAGGCCTGAGTACAACACGTGGTAACGCAAAATGATCAAAAAGTGCGCGTAAAGGATTGCCGACCAAATTGGTTCGACAAGTCAAGGGTTAAAAGTTCATGAGGGATTCCAAATGCCTATCGAGTCTATGAGCTAGACGCAGTAAAAAGCAGCAGACAAGGGACGAGTTTGACCGGGGGAAAGGAAGTACATTAAAAGACGTTACAATAACAGACGGTCATTATTTATCTTTCGCGCGTGGAGCAAGTCTTCGCAGAAATCTGCGGTGCTGGTATGTCCGATGCGTTATCCACGTCCTATTGAAGGTGAGTATTGCTTCGAAGTTCATGAGCTAGGTCTTTAAAGTATACTGATATATATCAGGAAGCTTCGCTTCAGGATCTGACTGGACAGCTCAACAGGCGGGAACGAAGCTTACACGTTCTGGAGCGGGCAGCGAAGCTCAAATCACCGTCGAAACGTGTGCCCATATTACTGAACATGTCTTGTATAGGTGTCATAGCATTAAAACACGGGACAGGTGAGATATTACTTCATATTTCTTTGCTGGGGACAAAGGGGATCTGGAGTAGGGAAGCTATACTTTCGCACTTTTCAATGTGCACGACAGAGCTTCTTTACTCTCATTTCTGCTGTTTTTGAGACTGTTCTATTACTTTCCTTCTGGTCAATGTTTTACCTCATTACTTGGAATAATTTGTAGCCACATCTCACTCGTTTGAACAGTTTACCCCTTGCCCTCACCCGATTATCTCATTTTACTGGGCAAAAGTACTGTTTTTTTGTAGTGTACAAACGATCTTGTCGATTTGTCGAAATATAGGTAGCAGAGTTCGGAACGGCCGCCAGAAAGGTCGTTTATTGTTGGTTGATCAGATGGTAGTAGATCTGTTCGCCGATGCCAACCGGTTACTAAACTCGGCGAACAGATCAACTACCATCTGATCAACCAACAACAAACGATCTTCCTGGCGGCCGTTCTGAACTCTGTTGGTTGTTCGAATTTGCTTGACTGTAATTGGTTCAATTTCTGATTGGCTGTTTAGTTGCTTGTGCCGGCTGGACGTTGTTGGTTCACAGTGCCGATTGCTGGTTGGCTGACCTTGGACTCTGGTCGGTTTCAATGGTGTGCGGTGAAATAGTCCGAGGGTTGCTCGTCAGACTTTGAGCTGCACTTGGACTTCCAATTGCTGATCCTATTGCTTTGTTACGTGTGCACCCATCATAGGCTCTACGTTGCCTTCTAACCGTTAACAGACAGTTTCCTTGTCTACTGTACTCAGCTACTCGTTGTCATCTGTTAGAGACCAAGGAGACCCGCCATCATTGCCATCATCGAAGGC